TATAACATAATAAGAACTTCGTGTCAATCTAATAAAGTCAATGATTCCAGGTTATGAGGTTTCTAGTCAGAATTTGAAAACGAGACTGGTTTCTTCTTGCTCCTTTGATAAATCATGAAGGAACAAATAAGGTAAAGAATGAATGTTAAACATAAAGAAGCCAGAACTTACTGGGTTCAAAACGAAAATGTTTCTCATTCTTAACCTCTTCGGCAGTAACTCTTTAAAGAAAGGAACTCAGGCCAACAGTTTTGAATCCTAGCTTGGACCACTAAGATCCTTTGCTAAACCTTGTAGATATGTATATATCACATGTACAACTCATATACATAATAAAAAGTTTTTAAACCTTGTGGAATCTTTCAGATAAGAGCCTCTAACCCCTCAGGGCACACATCACAGATGCTCTCCATTAACATGGTTGTCGAAGCTTTAAAGATAATGCCCACAGTTGTCTCACAGGGATCCCAAGGTAGAAAGGTTTATGCCAAGATTTTGTGGCATGTGTTTTTTTCCTAATGACTTGAGTTTATAAAATAAATAGGAACACTTGCCAAGTTTTTTAATTGTATCAGCTTTAACTTAAAAAGGCCACAGACAGGATTTATAACCTTTGAAATGCTATGGCAGGGACTGGCTAAAAAAAACATGCAGTGGCAAACTTTAGCAGCTTCTTGTAGAAGAGAGAGAATTAACTCAGAAGGTAGAACCAACAGCAACAGAAAATTCCAGCAGTAAGACTGAGCTAATCAAAGAATGAGACCAATATTCAGCTTAATTTCAGAAACTGCTATGGTCCAGTAACTGTTGCTTCCTTTTTTAATCATTTTAAGAAAAGAGGTACATTTCTCCTTCCCAAGTGTCTGTCCTGCAGTTGTGTACTGGATAGGGAATGAGAGAGGTAGGTAACTTGTCTCTTTGCTTCACTGCCCTTCAAAGGAATAGCACCTGAGCCCTGCGTGAAAAGAGCTTCATCCACACTGGACCTGCTCTAATATGAAATCCTGACCTTCTATAGTTGATATTTATTGGGATGAGATTTGGGGATCTGGAGAAGAGAGGAATGAGTGTATTTTGCTGTTGTCAGAATATGAGTATTATGTCAAAGCTGGACTATATGGACTATATTTTCCAACCCCACATATTCTTAAAAATTTGATACTCCCCCATTGAGAAATGGATTTATATCCCCATCTCCCTTGAATTGGGGTGGGACTTAAAACTGGCAGAAATATGTGACTTCCAAACTGTAACAACTAGGTATATAAAAGCCTATAACTTCTGCCTCGTTCTCTTTGAGACTCTGTTCTTGGAATCCAGGAACCATGCCAGGGGAAAATTCGATCGCCACATACAGAGGCAACATGGATGTTTTGGCTAATGGCCCCAGCTGAGGTCCCAGATGACAGCTGTCATCACACCCGACATGGAGTAAGTCAGCCCTTGCCCTCAGTTGTTGAATCACCCAATCCTCAGTTACGTTGCTGAGAACAGGTATCGTGGCTCAGAAGTAAGCTATTGTCCTTAGTGTCATGGTGGATTCAGGCCCACTAAAATCTGTGAGTCTAATAAAATAATGTTTGTTTTATGTCACTGAGTTTGATGTGGGTTATAACAGTCTTAAAAACTGAACACCCTTGAAGTGACTGCCGCAATCAAGCTTCAGATGCTGGAGATAGGCTTAGATTTCAGCCTCAGTTTCAGCCTTCACCAGCTGTGTGACTGCAGGCACACTGCCCCTGGATAATTACTACTGCCTCATGGGTTGTTATAAGGAATTAATAGGACAGCAATATAGAGCACAATACAGAGCATATGACACATAGTAAACACTCACTAAATCTCTGACTGCTATAATAATTTTTCATCCAGGCCTTTATTCTATGGCACTTGTCATAGAAATTATCTGTAATTCATCTACCTGTCTCTGATATGAAGCTGTAAATGTCTTGATGTTGTTCATCTGTGAATTTTTAGTGCCTAGCCCAGTTTTAACTTCTTTATTTTACATTTCAAATAATTGAATGCATTACAATGTATTTGGTAAACAGTAATGTGTTTTGAAAATGTGCAATATAATTATATCTAATTAACCTCAGATTTGATTCATAGTCACATAGTAATTTGTGGTCAAGCATTTTACACATATTGTCAAAAGTCATCTTCTTAGGCAATACTATGAAATGATATTTTAATTTTATGAGCAAACAAACTGAAACTCTGTAAATTAAGGACTAGTACCACCTCCCCAGTGGAGGCTCAAATGCACCCTTGCTAACCCCACGTGCACACCAGTCCTTCTCACTACACCCGACATGACTGGAGCCTTCCCAGTCCTTCACGTGGCCCATCATAGGCAAAGTTTCATCATTTTCCCTCTAGCTATGATGCCTGACCAAAAGGAAATATGAAATTAAAAAGATACTTTACAATCTATACCAACAGCCTAAAAGAAAGGGGAAGGCTCGGAGCAAAAGGCAAGAAAAATACTTTCAACAACTTTCTTCATTTCATAGTCAATGAGAGGTCCTTTTCTCCCTTAAGTGGTGAATCCATCAAGAAAATAATACTCAAAATAATATCTGAAATTGCATTTTATGGAAGAGGGAGGAGTAGTAGACTTCAAAACAATTTAAGCAAAGATTTTTTTTTAATCCAACAGTTTCCAACTTGAGAACTATTTATATAAAAGGAAGCCTTAAATATTTTTTTAGTACTTTGAAGATAAATATTATGACTAAGTATGAAAAGGCTGGGATTTTCAAACTTCCAAGAAAGCTTTCCTTCCTTCAAATAAAAAGAGTTTTAACGAGAAAACTCCTGTTCATAAAGCGTAAGCCTCCAGATAATTTTGAAAAGCTGGAAATAATTTTTAAATTATTTAATCATTATCCATTGACTCAACAAACATTTATAAAGAGTGGATGTTGATGACGAGTACAACCCTGGTTGCTGGGAATGCAATGACAGTCTAAAAACAACCTTTGCCTTTAGTTTATTGTCTAATTGGAAGACAAAACTCAACAGTAAGCACTAAATGTCCAGCAGAAGCAATGAAGGTGGTAGAAGATCATAAAAATAAGAGAACATATGAAAGGAATCTGGAAGTCTTCTCCAAAAGGTGACACTTGAACTCAGATCACAAGGATGGTATATTAGTTTCCAAGGCTGTCATAACAAAACAGTACAAACTGGGTGTCTGAAAATAACAGAAATGTAGTCTCTCACAGTTATGGAAGTTAGAAGTCCAAAATTAAAGTATCAGCAGGGCTATGCTCCCTTCTGGCCTCTTCTTAGCTCCTGTGATGGTTTTCAATCCTTAACATCATTTGGCTTGCAGCTGCATCACTCCAGGCTCTGCCTTGGATATCACATGTTGTTCACCCTGTGACTTCATGACCTTTCTGTTGGGACACCAGTTATTTTGGATTAAGAACCTACCATATTCCAAGATGATCTCATCTCAAGTAACTACATCTTTAATGACCCTATTTCCAAATAAATCACATTCTGAATTCCTAGGGTTGGGACTTCAGCATATCTTTTTAGGGGACTCAATGCAACCCATCACAGATAACCAGAGGATTCAGGTGGGGCAGAAGGAAGGACCCACCAAAAACCCTGTGGCAGGAAAGAGGATAGCACATCTGAGGAACAGAAGCAAGGTAAGTGATCATCCATGGTCTCCCTTCTTGACTTAGTTTGCTGTGCCAATTTTTTTCATGAAAGCTCATCAAAACTGTGATGATAGTCACCTTGATCAGAATCAGAGAGCATGCCATGACACTATGTTCTGAGATCCTCCTGGATAAATCCCACAGAGATTTCCTGGACACCATCTCTCTCAGTAGCTACAACTGAAACATAATTTAAAATAATTTGCCCTTCATCTTCAGGTCCCAGGGAACTTTGCATATAGTTTGAAATCTCAGAATAAATTACTAAACCAAGCCTCATTTAAAAATAAATACATAATCAGATGAAGAAAAACACCTTGTTGATCTCTTTCATGGTACAAAACAAGCTCCTTCCCAGAAGGCTGCATCTGAATGAGCCGCGCTTGTTTTCTGAATCCAATCATATCCATAACCAATTCTGAACCACAAATCAAGATGCAAAGCCTGGTTAGGCAATTCTTATAAACCTTCATCTGCTTACAACATGGGTGCAACAGATCCCAAAGGATGGAGAAACTCCACAGTTTAGCTGGACTAACTGAACAGTGCTAGAATGTCAAAGAAACCATGGACCAGTAAAGAGCTGGATCCAATTTGGAGTTATTGTTTCTAGAGAGAGTGGGTGGCTGCATATGTGTGCGTGTGTGTGTGTGTGTGTGTGTGTGTGTGTTTTGTTGTTATCCAGACCACAGTTTATTTTGGAACAGGTTCTTCCAAGAAGTTTCATGGGACACTGAGAACATCATGTATTCTCAGGTCAGCTTTTCTGGAATACAAAACAAGTCACTTGAGATCCATCAAGTAATCCATTTGTCCCCCATTCACAGCTTTATTTAACTTCCAGGAGCCCGGCGACCTATGCAGCACTAAGGTTTTTGTTGATACAAACTTCAAACTAAATTCCTCCTGACTTTGTCAGCTTTGTTGCACCTCAAAGCTCCAAGAACAAGCCTGGCTAATGCAATATAGAGAGGACATCAGCACTTTTATGCTCCCCTGCCCTCTCCTATTCTGTTCATGTCATTTGTAATAGAGGCAATAAGACACTCCCAAGTTCTGAATTCTGAGCCAGGAGGTTCCCTAGAACTGACCCTTACTAGTTAAGAAGCCAGTAAGGAACCACTATCAGGTTGAGGAGTTAAGTTAGAGATAGAGCTACATCCTGGAATAACACCTGGAACCAGGAGATATGCGTTTCATTGTGACTCTGTCTACCAGGTACTATTTGACTCTAGGAAATAACCAGGTTTCTTTGAGACTCAGTTCCCTTTCTTTCATTAGGTATGCCATGCTCGTGTACTTTGCAGGGTTATTGAATGGACTGGGTGAACTAATTATGGGAAAACACTTTGAAAATGATTATTAAAAAAACATGAATATCGAACATCTAATTATTAGTTCCTTCATCTCCATATATCTCTCTGAAATCAGTTTCTCTGACTATGAGCCTCTGTTCCTTCAGTTACCAGTCATAGGAAACAGAGCATCCCTGTATCTCCCAAAGGAATACGTCTACCCCCCTCCTCCACTGTCTTCCATCATCACACCTGCTCACCACAGTAACGTATTTAAGTCCAGTGGCTATCAACTCAAACTGTATATTAGAATTAGTAAAGTCATTTTTAATTGCCAATGCTTGAACCTAGCCCAAAAGCTTTAATTCAGTTGATCTGAGCAATCAAAATTCATAGTTTTACAAACACTTCTGGTGACTTTAACTTGCAGCCATGATTCTTTTTATGCCACTGTTTAGAAGCTCACAAATCTAAAATCACAATAATAATAAATATTATTGAACAGTTATAGTGCACCAGACATTATGTTAGGTACTTAAATGCATCAACTCACTTATTCTTCACATCTACCCTCTGATATAAGTGCCTTTACTAACTCCTTTGGCAGAAAGAAACTGAAGTGCCTCAAACTTAGGCACCTCACTGCCCAACACACAGAACTGAATGATAGGGTAGAAGTGACTCTGTCTGACAGGACACTGAAGTCAGGTGATTGGTAAATGAACTTGGAAGAACACTGATAAATCCGACTTAATAGGGAAAAGAGAGAAGTGACGAAGTTCTCAATTCATCATGCCAAAATGCATCTTAAAACTCAAAAACCTTCAGAAGCAGCATGATTTTCTTTCCCATATGTCAAATGTATGGTTGACCCTGGAATGCATTAAAATTTGAAGTTTAATTTAATTTTACAGTTCATTCCATAAAGCAGTTATCTCATTCTCAGATTTCATAGTCTAAAGAAAAATATAAATGGTGAGGTTTCGGGGAGGAAGGAAACTGGGGACTTCCAAATCTTTTCCAAGTAAGTGAGATCTCCCTCCCTTTTCTTTCCTCCTTCCCTCCCATCCCACAAGCCACAGCAATATGTAATGTGTAATAACTTAGACACCTATAAGCTGTGGAATCTCTGTCTTCTGTGTTTGGATAGAACAGAACTCACTCTCTTGAAAATGTTTAAGTTCTGTGGTTTCCTGATTGTGCTCACAGAGCCCTGGGTTTCCTAGGGCATCCTGAGTAAGGGGAGGTACTTAGAGGGAGGGAACAAGGCAATGCTGGAAATGCTGAGGGCTCCTGGTCACTCCTTTTCCACAACCACTCAACTTTGATTTCCTGACCTCTTAAACTTTACATAAGCTTCAGTTGAAGAATGGACTGTTCCTGTGTTCAAATACAAAAGTTTGAAAACCACTGTTTTAGTTAATGAGCTACAATTCAGAGCCTACATAAATTGCCAATGTTCAAATAATACAAAGTATATTAATCCTAAACCTGTACTAAGCCAACATGGATGACTCTGAAGGTACCACAAGGTCTTACCATGAAGTAGTGGTTAATAAAAGATGACCATAGAAAGATGATAACAGCATTTACCATTCTTGGCTGTTCCAATAAATTGTATGTACACAAAACAGAACTTCTAAGTTGCTCTAAGAAGAAGTGGAGGTGCTGCTTAAAGACAGATCTGAAAGGAGCTGGACAACTCCTAGTGCTCCAGGGTATTCAGACATCTTGCTCTGCCTTCCTGACCCATGCAACCAGAGGCAACAGCATAGGCTGCTGCGCTGAGGAGCACACAGAACCACATTGCCAAATGGCATTGTATAATTATTTCCTGTGATGCTTAAAGTGAGAAATCTAATCATATTTTAAAAATAACATTCATGTCATTTTCTGATTACAAAAGTAGTATTTTGATAGGTAACTGACTTCATTCCACTTCTGCTTGCTGCTCCAATCTCCAAAGCCAAGAATTACAAAGCCTTCCTTCTTATTTAAAATGGAGAGAAGGAAAAATTATAGGGAGAAAAATGTTATTACTAGTTCAGCGAATTAAAGTGCAGCAAAAGGTTCTTTGTTTGCAGGAATGAAACAAGTTGTATACATGTCACAAATATTTTCTCTCTTCAGTAAAAACTGAAGAGCATCGCTATTATGGCTACACGATATATCTATTATATATAGACATAATAGCTTCCTGCACTGTGTTTAGTCACTCTCCTATTACTGACGTTTAAGATTACTTCTATTTTTGACTTTTTATAGGTAACATGGTGATGAACATTTCTGAGCATAAATCTTAGCCTGCCCAGAAAATGATTCCCTCTAGATAAGTATGTTTATTGTTACAAGCAGCGACACCACAGTTTTTCACACCAGGTTTCAATGAGCTTTGCCTTTCTACCCCTACTGTTGGCCATTGCGGGTTCTTTCATTCTTTGTGACCTTTCTTTACTCGATGCCTTCAACGGTTTCTGGCTCTGCCTCTAGGCATCTGTCCTATTTTGTTTTCAAAGATTCTTCTGAGGATTCCAATTCCATTCAGCCATGTCAGGTGTCCTGGCCGTTAGGTCTGAGCTCCTAATCAGGACAGTGCTCTCATTGGAGAGGCAATGCACTCTCTTAGCATCTTAAATCCCACTAGGCTTCATGGCCATTCCCCAGGATCTTTGAGTACGTAACGTGGCTTTTTTTATTCTCCTCTTCTTCTAATACTCCTGTGTTTTCAAAGCATATATTAAAATAGGCAGAAAACAGACTTTGTAACATAAACCTGTACTTTGTGAACTTTTTTTCCATGGGAAATCCCTTATGCTTAGAGCAAAAGTATGGCTTTATATAATTCTTTTAGATCAGAGTTTCACTGGGGAATGTGGCAGAGTTGCTGAAATTTCCACTCATTAGCATCCTAGATGTAGTTAAACACCTTTCTATATTCACTGCTCCAAACAGAATAAGCCCCACTAATCTGTACCAGCCATCTCCCTATGGCTAAATTAAATGAAACCAATTTTAAAGTCTCTGGAATCTCAAGGAGGTGTCAAACATATCCATGTGTTTTCATTTCTTAATGATTTCACATTTTGGCATTTTCAGACTCTGAAAAAAATCAGTTTGAGAGTGCTTGTTTCAAAATTCTCTGATTAAGGATCAACATCATCTGGAAAGTCCCACCCAGTCACTGTCACCGTCTCCCACCACAGCTTCTCCATGCATCCTGCCTTCCTTCAAAGCAAGAGGGTTTATGAAATGCCACAGAAGGGACAGCAGTCCAGTGTGAGCTCTGATGAATCCTTCTGCCAGGCATTCAGTGGAGAGAGTTCTAGATAAAAATCAATGCTTCTCTGCTCTGCTACAAAACCTGCATGAAGAGTCTTCCCCGTGCATAAACACATTTGATAAGACTACATAGACCATCCCACCTAGGAAACTGAGACTATTTAAAATGCAATCTTTCTCTTCCTGCTGCACTCTATGGTGTCCATTTGAATTAGAAAATGAAACTTACCAAGGCTGAAATTTGTCCCAAATAAACCTGATAACCATGGTATTTGTTAAAATTTTGAAATCCTCAGCGTCAACTGGTAAATAGCTATATTTCTAACATACCCCATCCCTGCACCAGGCCTCAGAGGCCTTCCACCCCAGGATCCAGCAACTGAAGAGTTAAAATCCGGCACAGCAGAGGACTCTAGCTCCACAACCTAGCATCACTGGGCCAGGGTCTATTTCAACTGATGATATAGTGCAGTAGCAATAAATATTTTAATATCATTCTTGAACTATACTAACATGTCACTAGTCTCATAAAATTTAAGGAATGTGTGTTTACTACAGCTTTAGTGGAATGTTTTATTCTCACCTTCAAGTATTTACTAGCTATTTACTAGACTTCTGCTCAGTGGTGAGGAGTGCACGGTCCCCCTCCAGGAAGCTTACAATCTAGTGCAAAGATAGCTAACTAAAAATGTCATTTCAACACCATGTAATAAATGCTACAATGGAGCAGCTACAGTTGTTATGAGAGCTGAGAGAGAGGGCATAGCTTGGCTCACAGGAGGAGGCAATAGTAGAGATGAAACTTTAGTGCACATCTACATAAGCCATGGGGGCAAGACAAGTGTACTTGGAAGGTACAATCAAAGCAAACAGCCTATGGAAAGACCTGGAAGCCAAAAAGAAGCAGGCAAGTTTAGGAAATGATAAATAGTTCAAGGGGTTGCACAGAAGGAAGTGAGGCAACATGAAGTTAAGAAGTTAAGCCAAAGAATGGTTTGCTTCTCACATCTCACAACTGCATTTAAGCTGAGGATGAATCGTGGTTGGCCATTTTCGTTCCTGGATATCTCAGAGGACTTATGGTACCAAGCCACACTCAAAGTTGCCAAGATTCTGCTGACTGTGTTACTCCCAAAATTACTCTGGAAGTCCACAGCAAACACATTTGCTATGAATAAGAAGATTAGCAAGGAGGAGTTGGTAGTGGGTTCTTGGGATGACAAGGCCCATGTCAACATTCCTCAAAACTGATGGGACCCACATGGATAGCCTGGTACCTCAGGCATCCATGCATACCTGTTGGATGGATAGATGGATGGATGGATTGATGGATAGATGGATGGATGGATGGAAGTTTTGAAGTTTGAGGACGAGGGATTTAGAGAACTTTATCACTACTTCACTCTTTCCCTCACCCCCTGCTTCTTGCTTTCCAATCCCTTTGTCTGTCTTTTTCCCTTATTCTTCAGTGACTGGTAGCCTGGGATTACCAACTCATTCTACTTTTTCCTGCACTTTTGTAGTTTTAAACACCAAAACCCTGCATCCCTGGATTCCTTTCGTCCCCATCCCAGTCCCAACAAACTGGAATGGTTTGTCATCCTCCTGATGAGCAGCTTCTTTTTATGGGATGAAGATAATGGGACACTTCAATCACTTCAGTAGCAAGAAATCATTAGTGAGGGAAGGATGCCAATGCCTCACATAAATGTGCCAGATAAACAAGGCAGGAAAGGAAATTCTAACATGGAACAGCATAGGTAAAGGCATGGAATTACTCCATCTAAATGAAATAGAGGTCCAAAGATCAGCAGGAGGTAGGAGGAAAGAGATGGAGAGACTTCTAATTCTCAAGACAGATTTTTCAGAAATGAAGCAGCAGATTCACTCATGTTCATATGCAAGTCACAGTTGCTGAAAAGAAACACTTTTGACTGCCACTTTAGAGGAGCTGTGCTCTCACTCTCATCTTCTGCTATGAATAATCAAGAATTTTCAAAACTTCCCACTATTCCCAGGGGAGAGTGTGGTCTGGATCCAATCCTATCTATTATATTCACCCTGCTAGTTCCTGCTGTTAATGTGAATAAATAAAAAATCTGATGTGACTAAGCACCACCACAGGCTGCATGGTGTAGAAAAAGGCTAATTTATTTTTGATCTACTACTTAAGTATAAACATCTGACTCAGAGCAGCTCACCTTCTCTCCAGGGACTCAAACAGCTAAGTTGATGAAACACCTGAATATTATGCAGCAGACCTGGGATTCATTTCTTTTCTCTTCTCTTCTAACTCTTTGCTCAAAACATCTGTTCTCCCTGTGGAAGCATGAGTTCATCAGCAGAACAACATCATAGCAGTCCTATATAAAAAATGTATTCTTGACTAGCATACTTCAACATGGCTTCCTTAACTACCCTGATAATCAAACAACTTACACCAAAGTTCCTTTGTATTACACAGCCCATCAAAATAACTGCCTATCATCTATGCCACATTGAATTATGTTGGCATTATATAGGGCCACTATTAGGTGCGCCCATCATTCCCCCTTCTTCCTTCCTAACAGAGCCACAGTTTATTCAGGTGTCACACAACCAAGGGTTTTCGGATGGTGACTACACAACTAAAGGCAATCCCATCTTTCAAATGGTAGGCTCAGAACCAGGCATACAATACAGTGGTGAACAATGAGATGCAAGAATGCAAGAAGTCCACTGGGGGCTTTTTCCATGATGAATAGAGTAGTTGGAAGACCCTGGGGGTGTCCTTTATAGATGTAATCCCTGCCTGACACTGTGGCAGCCGTTTTGCTGCCAGCCTGAAGAATGCTGCCAATGCTGAGAATGGCAGAGAGAGGCAGAAAGACCCACAGAACAGATCATGAGGCCAGTGCTTCTATCCTAAAATCTACAGCACCTGGATACTTGTCTGAAGGGTGATTTGGTTGGTGGGGGGAGGGGGGCACTAATTCCACTCAGCTAATTCAGTACTAATTCAAAAATCATTTTTTACTAATTTTCAGTGAGCAAATCATGTTTTACTCTGATACTTTAAACAATATTCATAGTTGGTAGCAATAAGATATCAAAGTGAAAATTGTGAGAGGATGTTATATCCTTGATAAAAATAAAAACAAAAGAGAAGCTTGAAATGGAAAGGAAACACACAGCAGGTGAGGACCTTTGAGAGGACTTCCCTCTCCCATTATTAGCAGAATTTTGCCATTTGAGACACATAGTACAACTGAAAAATTCTTGAGATGGATTCAGAAGTTAACTTGCACTGGAAAGATGGATAGCAAGTAGAACGGGACCAAACGGGGGTCAATAAATAATACAGGTGGCCAATGTTGGTGTTTGACCAAATGGTACAAGTATAGAATTGAAGAATTCAGGTGAAAATTAATGTAAATGTTCATTTATATTGAAGTCCATGAGGGTCCTTTGAATATGAGATTATTTTGTTTCATGATCAATAAGACAAATCTTCAAGCTATGTTTTTCAATATGGTGGAGGATTTGCTCTGAGCTACCTGCACCCAATTATCCAAGGCCTCTTTGAAAGTAATGTCCAAGGAAATATGCGAGTTCCTAAATGTTTCAAAGCCTATATTTAGATAATACATAATTCAAAGATCTATGAAGATAATGAAAAAAAGACGGTACATGAGAAGCACTGAGAAAGTGCCTTATATATACGGTAAAGTCTTAAATTTTTAAATTCTATTTCCTTTCTCTTCCCCCTGCCAACATGTTGAAGTGGTCTATTCTACTTCTTAGAATATATGCTAAGTCCACCTTCCGATGAGTAATTACAGCCATAAGTTGAGACTCATTTAATTGGGACTCTGTTGAACTCCTTTCTATAACCCAGAAACTAGCACAGAACCTGAATGTAGAAAAGACCCAAAAAGGAAGAGAAGGAGAAAAGAAAAGAGGCAGAGAAGAAGCAACAACAAGCAGAATGGGGAATGTTTAAGTTCTGGACCAGTGCTACCCCGTACCAATGTAAAACAAGCCACACATGTGAATGCATAATGTAATTTAATGCTTTCTAGTAGTCACATTAAAAGAAGTAAAAAAAAAAAAAAGAAAAGAAAAGAAACTACCAGGTATAGTGGTACATACCTGTAGTTCCAACTCTCAGGAGGTAGAGACAGGAGGATCATGAGTTCAAAGGCCAGCCTGGGCCACATAGGGAAATCCTGAATTTAAAAAAAAGAGAAGGAAGGAAAGAGAGAGCAAGAGAAAAGGAAAGAAAGAAAGAGGTGAGATTAATGTAATATACTTAGTATATTTATATTTATACCTAGAATATTTATGCCAGATTATATCAAGCATAATAAATCTAAAATGTCACCATGTCAATATGTAATAAATATGAAAAAAAATTATGAAATTTTTTTTAAGTCTTCCAAATTGGTTGTGCCTTTTATAGTCATTGAGCATCTCAATTCAGACTGAACATAGTTCAAGGGTTCAACAGGCACATGTGGTTAGAGGCTACCATACTGAATAGGGCAGCTGTAGAGTCTACACACCTCCTCAGTGCCTTTCCATTTCAAAAGCCCTGAATCTCAGCAAAATGCCCCACCTACTTTAACATGTCAGCTCCTTACCAATCCCTATCTCACCCCAGCTCATGAGCACTCTTAATTCATTCTGACTTAGAAAATATATTATCCCATCTCCCTGACCTAAAATTTCATTAATCTGATGTTATAAGGTATTAATCAGCCTAAGTGCTAACATTCCCAAGTAACATCCTGATTTTTAATAGGTGTTGAAAAGGAAGACTCTCTCTTCCCAACAAAGTATTTACACATCTCCTATTCTGAAAGACATGTGAAAGGGAACTTCAGCTAGCCCCCTTTATGAAGGCACCTCAGCAGATCCTTGGCACACCTGTATAGTATACAGACTCACAGAGCACAGAAGTGATCATCTTCCAGTTGCCAGTGACAAACACTATGTCTTGCATGGAGGAATGCAGGGTTCCCCAGCAGGAAAAAGAAATTCATGGGGCATGATTAATGTTGCCCTTGATTTTTAAGTATAAGACTCAGTCTTTTATTAGAAAGTGGGAAAAACAAAATGACATCGTGGGAAGAAATAAGATGGAAGAACTCCCTTAAAAGCTTGGATCAGAGAGTAGGATACATCTGACTAACCTTCAGGGGTTGTGGGAAAGGACATTTATGCATTCATTCAGCAAATATTTCTTAAGCTTCTCTGATATGCCAGGCTCTGTACATGGCGCGGGGCACATGAATGTAAGGCATTGTTCCTATACTTACAGAGCTCTGGAGTAAAGAAGAAACACGTGATGAAAGCTGGTCTATGACGGAGGGATTTACAAAGAGGAGGCGGTTGAAGAAGAGGGAGTGAATATTTAGGAAGTTCTGGGATGGCTTCAGAAAGGAAGAAAACATGAAGTCTTAAAGGATAAGTATGCATCTGCCAATTAAATTTAATGTGTGCAACACCTGTGCAGGCAAGAGTGCTGGTATACAACTGTAATCCCAGTACCTGGGAGACTGAGGCAGGAGAAAGGAGAGTTTAAGGCCAGCCTAGGCTATATAGCAAGACCTCATTTCCAAAAAATTTTCGTTTAATGCATATAAAAGAAGAGCAGCTCAGATTAATTACAGTAGAGCACTAGATGGAAAGTGGAGGGCTGCGGGAGACGGTGTTAAAAAAGCAGACTGAGCACAAATCACAAAGGGCTTTGCATGCTATGCACAGGGACTAAGACTGTAGCCATAGGTGAAGTGGAACCATTCAAAAGCTTGAAGCAGGTACATGACAGAATAGCATTTCTCTGCCCACATGAAGTTAGAAATGACCATGTGACTTGTTTTGGCCAATTGAATGTGAATAGAGGTGATATGGGTCACTTCCGGGTGGAGGTTTAAGACTCAGTAAGTGTTCTGTCACATACTCTTTCACTTCTAGAAAATGATCAGTGATTTTAAGACAGTAGCTCCTCTGTCACCTGGGGTCCTGAGTGATTGTCATGAGCAGAGCCCTCCTGCTGGATGACAGTGAACTTGTAGCAACACTAAGAAAAAACTTCTTTTTGTCTTAGCCACTTTGATTTAGAGGTTGTTTTATTGTTGCACTAAAACTACAGGCCATCCTGACTGATGTAGCAGGAACAGCAGGATCAGATTTATATTTGTAAAAGGTGATGGATGGCAATATAGAGGATGAACTAGAGGTAAAAGAAAGTTAATTACAGTCAAGGAAACCAATAGGGAGAGACTGCACTAGCCCAGGAAAGAGATAATAAAAGTCTAAAATTAGAGCAAAAATAGTGGGGGTAAAGAAATCAGTTACACTTAAGAAATACTTCTATTGTAATATCAACAGAATTTAGTGACTAATGAAATGTGGTTTATAGATGTTTATCTACTTATTTTTACAAACAAATTACCCCAAAACTTATCATCCTAAAACAAAGATAAATATGTACTGACTCACAGTCCTCATGAGCCAAGATGATCAAATATAGCTTAACTGGGATTTTGGCTCATTATCTCTCATGAGGTTGCCTTGTCAAGGTGTTGGCCAGAGCTGAAGGTTTGACAAAAATTAAAGGATCCATTTCCAAGATGGCCACACACATGGTTGGTGAGTGGATGCTAACCTTTGGCAAGAGCTTCAAGATCCTCGCCATATGGGCCTCCTCATGAGGCTTCTTGATTGTCTTCATGACATGCCAGCTGGCTTTCCCTAGAATAAATGATTCAAAAGAGAACATGGTGACTTGGCAATTTCCCTTATGACCTAGCCTTAGAAGCCACACACCACCACTTCTCACATATTCTTTGGCCACAAAGAACCATGACACATTGTAGAAATGGAGGTGAAGATAACCAAGGACCAGCTTGGAGCATCATTGCCACAGTAAGATAGAAGTAAAGTAGCCAACTATAAAACTTTTAACTTGACTGGTTTAACAATGGAATTAAGTAAGGTGAAGAATAGGAGGAGGAGGAAGAGAAGAAGATGAGGAAGGGGAAGAGGGATGAGGAGGAGGAAGGAGGAAAAGAAGAAGAGGATACAGGAGATAATTAGTTAAATTTTGGACCTGTCATGGAAGACCCTAACAAATATACAAACAGAGATGACTAAGCATCATTTGAAAATAAGAAACTCTGAAGAGGTAGTGATTTAGGAGTCAATATTATCTAAGTGGTGAAGGCCAAAAGTAAAATGGTCCAGTAAGTGTGCACAGAAAGAAAAGAGAAGAAACAAAATGTAGAAACCTTATGGAAGGAGGCTAAGGCAGGAGAATGGCAAGTAGGAGACCAGCCTGGGCTACACAGCAAGACCCTGCTCACTTAAATGCAAGATTTCTCCATTGACATAAACCTTCTTCTCATGCCACAGAGGTAACCTCCCCATAATAAAGGTAACCCCCCCATAATGGACCCATAGTGTAATACCTTGAGTACAAAACAACCACTACCCACCCATTATGTGATAACATGTACATACAATAATGAAAAACTCCTTTACCATCGTCTACCATGCTCTATCCATCGGTGATACAGAATGAATGGGTCAGACAGAGCACTACCTCCTCTTCCCAAACAGCGACGCCTTCATAAGAAGGTCAAGATGTTGACAAGATTCTTAGGTGACTATATCGCTTGGTGGCCACTCTTAGGGTATAGGATTATAGGGTAGGAACCCACAATCACAGGATTTGAAACTAGTAAGGAGGGATAATCTTGATGAATCTTCTTAAGACAAAATAAGACCCAAGAAGATTGTTACTTGCTCAAAATCACATAGCTTTTTCACTCTTTTTTTCCCTTTTGCTTTTTGGGTTTTTTTTTTCCCCCTTTGGGCATAGGGACAGAGAGTCCAGTGCTCTTTTAATTCAAATCACATTACTTCACACATACTCCTAACATCAGGGGAAAATGATGTTCAGTAGTCTAGTAGTCATCTCCCTCTTAACATGCCTAAAGTGGATCTCTTGATTTTTCTCAATGTATATTTCATCTTCCCCATAAAAATAAAAACCCACCCACACCCCGGAAATCTTCCTTAACTTCCCTCTCTCTCTCTAACCTTCATAGCACTTACAAACACCTGACATTGTTTACATTTTTATTTGCATATTATCATTTCCTCCCGTACTGGAATGCTCCATGGAAGCATTTTGGTTTCTGAAAAATCTTCAGTGTCTGAAAGTACCTAGCACATAGTAGGTGCCCAGCCAATATTTTTGGATAATCAATTAGTATTAAATCTTAAGGTCAGGAAATACTCAAATGACAATATTATTTTTAGCCAAGAGAGCTTAATATGGGCACTTACCAGGAACTGAAAGCTTTAATAAATGTCACTGTCATTCCTACTGCTAGCATAGTTGCTTCGGTTTGGAGGCATCCACAGCTCCTCTGAGATCTTCATCTAGGATCCAATACCAGCCCACTAATAAACTCGGGAGCAGTGACCCTGAAATGATGGGAGATAATTTGGGAAAACCAAAACTCATTACTACTCCAAATTGGTGACTATGTCCATATACTGTCAGTATCCACTGAGCCTCCCTCACTCCTAAACATCATCCTGCCAGGAAATTACAGGAACAAACTAGGTCACAAAGCAATGAAGGACATTGGTGTGAGGGATTCAAATCCACTAATTCATTCATTCAGAAAAAACTTTCATTGGTGGAATTTTATGCAGCCATGAAGAAGAACGAAATGTTATCATTCGCTGGTAAATGGATGGAATTGGAGAACATCATTCTGAGTGAGGTTAGCCTGGCTCAAAAGACCAAAAATCGTATGTTCTCCCTCATATGTGGACATTAGATCAAGGGCAAACACAACAAGGGGATTGGACTATGAGCACATGATAAAAGCGAGAGCACACAAGGGAGGGGTGAGGATAGGTAAGACACCTAAAAAACTAGCTAGCATTTGTTGCCCTTAATGCAGAGAAACTAAAGCAGATACCTTAAAGCAACTGAGGCCAATAGGAAAAGGGGACCAGGAACTAGAGAAAAGGTTAGATTAAAAAGAATTAACCTAGAAGGTAACACCCATGCACAGGAAATCAATGTGAGTCAATGCCCTGTATAGCTATCCTTATCTCAACCAGCAAAACCCCTTGTTCCTTCCTATTATTGCTTATACTCTCTCTACAACAAAATTAGAGATAAGGGCAAAATAGTTTCTGCTGGGTATTGAGGGGGGAGCGGGAGGGGTGGAGTGGGTGGTAAGGAGGGGGTGGGGGCAGGGGGAGAAATAAACCAAGCCTTGTATGCACATATGAATAATAAAAGAAAAATGAAAAAAAAAAAAAAAAAAAAAAAAAGAAGTAAAATTCAGTCAGATGTTCCCATGTATTTAGCACCTCTCTAACGCTTGCTAATCTCCTGTTTTAATAAAGAATGTGCTGGAATTTGGGAAAAAAAAAAAAACTTTCATTGGGTGAATGCTATGCACCAGACACTGCTAGCTGCCTAGGTGAAAATCCTTCTGGAACAGTGTTGGTTGTTTTTGATCAAGGCATGATAGTTATTATTACTGCTGTCACCATCATCTTCATGATTACTCATGCAAAGCTGGAGCCATGTAAGTGCTCCCCCTGGGAACCTAAGGAAAGGCCTCTAGGTGTCCCCAACTTACTTTTCCTACCATGGAAAGTGATGATGACATTTATCCAACAGTCTCACCTGCAACCACCCATAAGTTGTTTTCTCCTAAAAACTGGTCTCTGGGACTAGCGGTGTGGCTCAGGTGGTAGTGCTTGCCTAACATCTGAAAGGCCTGGGTTTAATCCCCAGAATGAGAAGAGGAGAAAGAGAAACAGAAACAGAGAGAAAGAGAGAGAATGGACCTCTCTGTCTTTGGACCATAGTACCTAAGTCATGGGAATGAGAGGAAGCAAGCATTTGGTTTTGTTCTGTCTCCTTGCTTTCGTAATATTTTCCCAGTTATAATTTAATATTCACAGTGCTGTAAATCCTGAGGATGATGATGGGTAAGTGAATGACTGAGGTGTACTTATTTTCATTCCAAAAGCTAGATCTTGGTGCCTACCATTTTTCAGCAACATGACCTGTTGCTATATATCATGATACAACAGAAACCATTTAGAAGATAACAAGATACTATCATTACTGCATTCAGAAATTGATAACACATGAGAAATTAAAGGGCTCAACTTTTGCCACATCTTTTAAAGACATTTCCAAGAGCTAATAGTTTTTAAAATAAACTAGGTAAAAAGAAGAATTTGCCTGTGCTGAAATCTGGCAAATAACCTAAATTTATCTTTGAATCTATTAGACAACTCCCTTCTGTCTGACCCTCACGAAGACTCCCTTTATCATCTTGGGATCTTGACTTCCTTCCACATATCCATAGGACTTCCCTTCATCCCCCAATGGGCCTACAAGTCTTAACACGATGCATAAAT